CCCCCCCCCCCCCCCCTTTTTTTTTTTTTTTTTTTTTTTTTTAACATTTTTTTAATATTTTGTTTTTATTTTTTAAAATTATTTTATGTGTGTGAGTGTATTGCCTGCATGTATGTGAGTGCACCCGTGTCATGCAATGCTGTGGAGGGCTTTGGATTCCCCTGGAACTGGAGTTAAGGACGGTTCATAGCCGCCATGTGGGTGCTGGGAATTTAACCCGGGTCCTCTGCAAGATCAGTCAGTGCTCTTAACTGCTGAGCCATCTCTCCATCCCCATAAACACTCTTTTAAGTAGATTAGTGATACGGGACTATATGTCTTTCCTGGATCTCAGTTTTCTTTCCTCAAATTGAGTTTCAGTGGTTAAAAAAAAAAATCTCTTCCACTTGTAACATCAAGTACAATTCTAAACAATACTTAAGATGTGTTAATTTTAAAAGTTAAAGATCAGGGGCTGGAGAGATGGCAGAAGACTCAGGTTAGAATCCCAGCGCCCACATGGCAGCTAACAACTGTAACTCCAGTTCCAGGGGATCTGACAGCCTCTTCTGTCTTCCGCAGCCTCTTCTGTCTTCCGCAGACACGGGTGCACTTACCTACACGGAGGCACACACGCATACACATAAAATAAAAAAATAAAAAGTTAAAGATCCTCCGGGCGTGGTGGTGCATGCCTTTAATCGGAGCACTCGGCAGAGGCAGGCAGATCTCTGTGATTTCAAGGCCATTCTGGTCTACATAGTGAGTTCCAGGACAGCTGGGGCTACAGGGAGACCCTTTCTCAAAAAAACCAAAAAAAAAAAAAAAAATCATTATTTTCCTTTGCTTCTGCAGGACCTCATAGAGTTTCATGGTTGCAAATACCATATTATCCATTCTATAAAATGCTAGTTATCTATTTCTTTCTCACCTGTTTCTTTTTATTCTAGATCCGAATAACGCCCTTCATAGCTGTTGTCTTCTGAAGGTCTAGTAGTCATCACAACCATTATGTGAATGAAATGGAATTTTCTTTGCTTCCTCCCCTTCCTGCTGCTCCTATGTCTTTCTCATATTCTTGCCATAATCTACAGTAGCTCTCTTCAAAATCTAGGAATTCTATTCTGTCCTCTCCTCGGTTCACATCCATTTGGTCAGTTTGTGTTTTTCAAGCTGCCAACAGAATATTAGATTCTGATGACCTCTCACTGTTTCCAGGTTTTTGGTTTTTTTTTTTTTTTTTTTTTTTTTTTTTTTTTTTTTTAAAGGGTCTCTCTGTAGCCCCAGTTGGCCTGGAACTCACTGTGTAGACCAGGGTGGCCTTGAACTCACAGAGATCCACCTGCCTCTGCCTCCTGAGTGCTGAGCTTAAAGGCTTGTGCCACCACACCTGACTGTTTCCAATGTTTAAGCCAGTACTCAGTGGCTTGAACATCCACCCTACCAACTCCCTTCCTTTCTTGAGCTCTCATAAGCTGGCCTTTGATTCCTGCCTTCTTCCTCAGCCTCTCAATTAAGGCACACTTGTAGCTTAGTTTGTCATCACCCCCCTCCTTTTTTTTTGAGTTGGGGTCTCACTGTTAAGCCTGGCTGGTCTTGAATTCAAAGAGATCTGTCTGTGCCTGCTTCCGGAGTGCTGGGATTAAAGGTGTGTGCCATTATGCCCTGCCCCCATGGTTTCCTGTTTTTTTTTTTTGGACTGAAACCCACACTTGTGTTAGTCTGTATCCAAGCAATTCATGTAATTCTGATGCCTGCTCCTCCTTGATGTCCACCTGACAGTTGTGTAGGGGGCTTGCAAGTGTAAGGAATCTGGCATAGAGTGCCAGACCTTGCTGTCTCTACCCCTCTTCAGTGCTGTTCATCACTGCTCAGGTGGGCAGTAGCCTGTAGGGGAAGAGCAAAACCTCAGTTTGGAATTCTAGTCCTGGATTTCATTTAAAAAGGATTGAGGGCCTGCAACATGGCTCAGTAGGTAAGGGTATCTGCCACCAAGCCTGAAGGCCTGAAAATTTGAATTCCATCACTGGAATGCACGTAATGGAAGTAGAGACTGCCACATGTGCCATGGTGTAGACACACACATTCTCACACTATAATAATATAAAGGACTAATTGATTGCAGTGCCGAGATTGAACCTAGGGTCTCAGATACGCAAGGCAAATACTTTACAGCAGAGTCGTATTTTCAGCCCAGTTTCATTTTTTTAAAAGTCAACTTTGTAGAGGTAAAATTTATATACAATAAAATGAACCAATTTAAAGTGTATGGTAGGGGCTGGAGAAATGACTTAGCATTTAAGAACACTTCTCTTCAGAGGACCCTGGTTCAGTTCCCAGTACCCATAGGGCTGCTAACAAGGCTGATAGTCTGTAACTAGTTCCAGGGGATCCACTACCCTCTTCTGGCCTCCATGAGCACCAGACATGCACATGGTGCACTTCACATACATGCAATCGAAACATTAAGTAAAATATATGGGTCAACGGACTTTAGCAAATGTGTACATCCACAGAACTGCCACAGTCAAGATACAGTGTAAGAAAAAAAAATAGTATAAAGATGTGTAGCAAAAATGAGAATCTCCTCCTCACCCCACTGAATTTTCTGCAAAAAGAACACTAGTTGCACACACCCATGACAATATTTTTTACTTTGAGAGTGGGAGTACAGTCCGACATTAAGCACAGCCTGTTGGCCTGGAACTTGCAATCCTCCGTCCCTGCCACCCAAGTATACATTCTCTGTCTCGAGTGTACTTCAAGATCACCTCCCAGTGTGCAAGATGTTTTGCAGAGCGTTTTAACATTTTTTCAATGTAGACAGTGTTAGTAACTATCGTCTTTTAATGTATTTTAGTCCTTTTCAGCTTCTTAGTCTTCAAATCCTACCAGGAACTTTTACCTCTTCAGTGTGGCCTCTGTTTTCAGTCATGTCTGTTTCACCCACTAGACTAAGATCCCAGGGATCTGGCACACTAACACATATAAAGAAATTAAGCGAATGTAGACTAAGTACAGAGTATGTAAAGAGAAGGTTAAAGCGTTAACTGAAACTACGGCAAGCAGGCACACGCTCTGGGGCAGCGGCGGGCTGCTTGGAGGTCCATGTGCCCTCTGCAGCGAAGACCCTTGCGGGGCTGACCTGGTTGAGGCGCCCCTGACTTGCTCCAGGACCCCAGGCCTGCGCGTGGAAAACCCAGGTGCCTGGTCCCACTGCCCGCCCGTCGCTCCCTCCAGCCGCTGGGTGGCGCTGTGGGGAGAAGCAACTTCCTTCCGGCCGCTCCTCCCGCGGCTGGCGCCCCTATATCCTGTTTTCGTTGGCCGCGTTCGGATGGCGGTCTGCTCTGGAGTTGCGTCCGCTTCTTAGGGCTGGTCCTCACTCGGCGCTCGACCCCCTCCTTTGTCCAGCCTCCTCAGCCTGCACTTCGTCCCCCCAGGGCGCCGGCTTTCTGTGGCCGGAAGCATGGGCCGAGAGTCGCGGTGAGTCCGTGAGCCAGCCGGGCTTGGGGAGGAGGGAGGGTGGGCCCCGCAGGTCTACGGCACACGTGTGGGCAGCCCTCGGCCGCTGGACGAAGTAGACAGGGCTGCGAGGACGTGGCGCAGCGAGGGCCTCTGGTTCTCCTGTGTTGCCGGCATCCGGGTCGAGCCCCTGAGCGCGAGCCACCCCAGGGCGTTGGGATGGGGCATCTGTCTCATCCCGGGCTGGAGCCTGCATCCTCATCACCTGGTCTGCCGGGATCCAAGCTGAACTTGTTACCGCTTCGCGTTTGCAAAATTGCTCTGTGCCCATCACACCATTTTAATTCTTTTCGTGCGCGTGTGGTCTTCCTAGGTCATTTAAAAGGAGCTTGTGGGCAGACATTTTTACCGCACCTGCAGCACTTTGCACGACCGGCTTTTCCTGGGTTACAGTACACACAAATGTTACGTGGACACTTCGTAATGGATTTCGTATTTATCTACTTTCTATCTTTTTGAAACTTCACCGAGAAACCATATTAAAGTTTGTAACTTTTGTAAAGTTTCTTCAAAAACTTAAGAATGTTGATAACTGGTTCAAGATTCCAGATTTTTTTTTCTCTTAAAATTTTTTAAAAAATTATGTGTATGCATGCATATATGTCTTTGTGTTGAGTGCATACTGTGTGCGTGTAGGTACGCACAGAAGCCAGAGAGGATGTGGGCTTCTCTGGAACAGGAGTTAACAGGAGGTTGTGAGGCATCTGTGTGGATGCTGAGAACCGAACTCGGGTTCTTTGCAAGAGCAGCAAGATCTCTTAAACTCCTAGCCATCTCTTCAAATCCGAGACTTTTATCTCTTTTTTTTGAGACAGGGTCTCCTTGTAGTGCCAGCTGGCCTGGAACTCACTATGTAGACCAGGCTGTTCTGGAACTCAGAGAGATCCCCTGCCTCTGCCTCTAGAGTGCTGGGATTAAAGACATCCTCCACTCCACTGGGCCGGAGATTTTTATCTTAAAGGATGACTATTTGATATGTATTTAGCAGTGTCTGAAAGCTGCTATGGAACTATTTCTAGGGACAGTGAAGATTTTGTTTGGATTTAATGCTAACAGCACTTTACTGAGTTAGAACTTACATTCAGGGGTATGAACAAAGTATGATTCAAGCATTTTGAAATTTAGCCAATATAAAAATGGTGTGGCTATCATTTGGACAAAGATAAAAGAGTTTGTCACCTTAACTCCAGAAATTTCCTGTGAAGGTCTGTTGTTGGTTTGGTTTTGGTCTTTTTGAGGCAGGGTCTCCCTGGAGCCCCAGCTGGCCTGAAAATCTCTTTGTAGACCACGCTGACCTCAATCTTAGAGATTTGCCTGCCTCTGCCTCTTGAGTGCAGGCATTAAAGGCGTGGGCCACCTCACCTTGTTTTGTTTTACCTTTTCTAAAAAAATTTTTTTTTGGATTTTTGTGTATTTCATACAGAAAGTCATCTTTATACTCCCCCCTTCCCCTTCGGCACCTTCCCATACCCCCCCCACCACCACACTGGAGTTCATATATTCTGTCATTTGTGTTAAAGCTTATCATGTAAAGTTAGTGTCCCCAGATGTCCCTCAGTGCAAGTTCATCCACTGGGATCTAGTCAGCTTACCTAGACTCACTCCCTTTAAGAAGATCAGCTCTTCTCACCCAGCAGTAATCAGTTGCCAATAATTCTTCAACTAAGTTTGGGGCTTGCTGTTGATTTCCAGTTCTGTGCTGGGTTTTTGTCTGCCTAAGTTTGCATGGGTGTTGTGCATGCTGATACCATTGCTGTGGTTTGTATGAGAAGGGTCCCAGGCATCTGTGGGACCATTTCTGTATAGTCATGTACCTCCTCCTTGTCTCTTAAAATCTTTCCACCCCCTCTTCTGCAATGGTCACTGAGCCCTAGGTGGGTGGATTTTGATATAGGAGTCCTTGTCCAAGGACCCACACTGCAGACTCTTATTCCCTGTGTTTTGGCCATGTGTGGCCTTTTGTGTTCCTGGCCCTTGGTTGCATAAAGGAGCTTCATTGATGAGAACTGAAAGATGCATTAGTGTTCTCTTCATCCTTGTTCTATGTTCTGTGAGCCTTAGTGTAGAGGTTACATCCTAGATGTGCCATTTAGGTTTGGGCAATTCACAATCTCTGTGTGTGACCAGTTGTGGAACTCTAATTATCTCTGTCCCTTGAAAAAGAAGCTTCTTTGATGGGTAGTGACTGGGATACTTGTTTATAAATTTAAGGACCCATATTTTGCACATAGTAAGAAATTACATTTGACTAGGGATGTGACAGCGTTGTAGCTTTCTCTAAGATCTGTGACCTATCCGGCTATGTGTATTTGGCTAGTTTACAGTACCACACATGAGTTTCCTCCCATTGAGTGGGCTTCAAGTCCAATTAGGTAGCTGTTGATTACCCTGAAGATAGAAATACCACTACTAGGCCGGGTATGGTGGCGCTTTTAGTACCAGAACTCGGGAGGCAGAGGCAGGTGGATCTCTGTGAGTTCAAGGCCAGCCTGGTCTACATAGTGAGTTCCAGGTCAGCTGGGGCTACAGGGAGACCCTGTCTCAAAAAGACCAAAAAGGAAAAAAAAAGTGCCACTACTGCACCAATGTTGTTTGCCGTGCTGGTCATTGATGTGGTTTTTAGGCCTTGTAGTTGGGGGTTTGACCATCGATTAATGTTCTCCCTTAGCAGCTTGCATAGTGCTAGCCTTCAGGGGAAGTGGCTTCCAAGTCAGTTCCAGCTCTGTTGCTCCAAATCCTGTGTCCAAAGTATGTCCTGTTTTCAGCAATAGGGGCCTACCATCAAGTTCTGGGAGGCAATCAAGGACTGTGGCAATAGCCTGTGTAATTTTGGGAGTCTCTTGAACTACCCTGGCCAACAACTGAAAGGAAGGTTTCTCCTGTCTGGCACTGTTTCTTGTTATGTAGTCTTTAGCTATACACACAGACTCAATAGGGATATTGTATTGTAATTTTTCAGTAGGTTTTTGGACTAATACAATTCCCTCTGTTTTTTTTTGTACTAGCTAGGCACTGTTATCTGTCCTCTTTGCTCTCCCTGTCTAATCCTCCCTCCCTGCCTTCCCCATTTAAAGTATCCCCATTTCCCCCATTTCTCCCATGATAATTCCTATATGCGATGGCTTTGTTTTACTTTTTTTTTTGTTTTTTGAGACAGGGTCTCCCTGTAGCCCCAGCTGTCCTGGAACTCACTATGTAGACCAGGCTGCCCTCGAACTCACAGAAATCCGTCTGAGTGCTGGGATTAAAGGCGTGAGCCACAACGCCCATCAGGCTTTGTTTTACTTTTCAAGACAGGATCTCCTAGTGGAGGTTGCCCTTGAACTTCTCAGAAGTTCACTTGCCTCTGAGTAATGCCATTACATGCTGGACTGAAAACAATTGAGGTTATTTCACTTCTTTGCTTATATCTTCCAGTAGCTTTCTTTGTTTTAATTATTTTCTTTTAAAAATATTTGTTCATATGCTGGGTGTGGTGGTGCATGCCTTTAATCCCAGCACTTGGAAGGCAGAGGCAGGTGGATCTCTGAGTTTGAGGCCAGTCTGGTCTGTATAGTGAGTTCCAGGTCAGCTGGGACTACAGGGAGACCCTGCCTCAAAAGGACCAACAAAAAAATTTTTGTTGTTGTTCATTTAGAGATGGGGTCATGTTGATCTTAAAATCGTGGACTTAGTGATCTTGTCTCAGCCTTCTTAGTAACTGGCCTTGTAGGCATGTGCCTCCAGATATGGCCCAGTAACTTTTTATCTTACACAGGATAAAAGATGGGGTCCTCAGAATGGCCTATAACGCTCTCCATGTTTGGGCCTGACCTTTTCGTGTGGCACTCTCTTCAACCCTGGCATCAACTGTCTGTCTTGCTGTTCCTTTAGTGCCCAAGTTCAGATTCCTTCTCATGTGTTTGTGCATGTGCCTTTTGCCTGGAAAGTCTCCCCTGTATATCTACATGTTTCCTACTTTTATGTCAAGGGTCTCTTAATAAATGTCACTTTATTAGTGTGGGCTTCAGTAGTCGTCTATTATAAAATGGTAAACTCTCTACTTCCGTTCTTTCTCTTTCCTTTATTCTGTTCTGTTTGACTCTATGCCAATACT